TTTCGTGAAGAATGGAGCTGCGTTGGAGTGTTTGATAGTATTTTGGGTGCTGTCATCATATCGCTCATACAATTTGCAGAAAGAGAAAGCTGAAAAGGTTTTGAGGTTAATGTGTTACAAATAAATCAAGCATAAAGCTTGAGATATTATTTTAACCTGGTGAAATGTAAATGACACAGTGCACGAAACTATATTAGTTTTTTTTTTTTTAAATCCAACTGGACCATAGAACGGGACTCTCAAAGCCTTGACATCCGGGTATCCGGGAGATAAGTCAGTAAATTCGAGTAAAATCACAGGCTTCGCTTATCCCGTGCGAATGCACCACACGAAATTCAGATGTGGGGGGGTAATTTCAAAATCACACAAGGTCCCCAGATAATACTAATCCCGTGCGAATAGGGCTTTAGTGAGCATAAGAGACTTTTTTCAAAAAATTAAAAATACCCCAAATTTGAAATATTATTACCTCTTTTTCAAACTCTGGTTTTTCTTATAGACAGACTAAATTAACTACAGTGGTCTCTTATATATTTGTGTTTGTGTACAGTACATACCTCACAGTCACAGTATATACACAAACAGCTTTCTTAAGTGTTAGGTTTAGTATATAGTAATTATAGTTAGCTTTATCTAAATGTCTGTGGTTCTGTGTATCATTAACATAACTAAGTAAACATGTGCACGTGTGTTCACAGCAGAGGGGGAGCAGTCAAGGATTGTGTCCTGCTGAGAAAGACCGTACTGGTGGATGACCTGAGCCGCGTCCACTCACAGGTACACGTGATCATGTGCTGTGTGCGCGACGTGAATGTTTTATCTCTTTTTGATCAGTGCAGTATATTTTTAAGAGTATTTTTTCATTATTCTTTCTCAGTCTCTCACACCAGCGTGACTTTACACTGGCAGGTACTTTACTTGAGCATCTGTGAGCTCTATGCCTGCCCAGTGTTAACATGGCACGTTTTCTTGGCATGGTCAAGTTTGCTTGTAGCCAAACATGGAGATAAACCTTATGAGAACTTCTCCGCTCTGATTGGATGTTGCTGACCTTCTTAAGCACATGGCCAGCTCAGAGGAGTTGATCTGCTGAGATTGGCTAGGGCTGCTGAAGAGTGTATTCACTTGTTCTGGGGTCGTTTGACCCCTTGTAATGACGCTATGGTCGTTCTCTCATAGGCTGTTGTCCAGACCAACATCGTGGAGAGAAAACGGATACCAGAGAGGACCGTCATTCATCCCTGTTCAGCACAGGAAACTCAGAGCAGGTACACATTTTAGATACAATTTACCTTCAAGAAATGGATATATTTCTGTGTTCTGTCAATACTATATAAGGATGTAACTGGCTTTCCTAAAAATCAATTTTAGGACTTTTCTATATGCAATTTATATGCTGCTACCTTTTAAAATGCTCATAATGATTACTTTACGAAATAAATAAATACATTTAAATTTTATTCCTTATTTATTTAATAGTTGAAATCTAAAAATTCATCTTTATAAGCATTTTATGTGCACATTTTTTTCAGCTACAGTGCTGCACAGTCAGTCCTTCAGCAGCAACTGCTTAACAACAGTCAGCAGCTGGAATCAGAGTTTCCCATCAGCAATGCCAGTATCTCTGCTGACTCACTGAGGACTCAACTCCAGAACATACTGGTTAGTCTCCTTCACCACTTTCCTGCATTTTGGGTGTGTTTTGTATACAAACAGCTGTGTGCTCATTTAGGCTCTTAAGGACCGGACGGAGGCTCTGTGGCGTGAGTTTGAGCTTCAGTGTTCCCAGAGCTCTCAGCACATGGAAGATGGCTGTAACATGGAGCAGGAGAGAGCTCAGCTCATTCAACAGTGGAGGGAGCAACAGATGTGCATTCAGGCCAGGTGAGACACATGTAGGCAATCCAGAATGGGACAAACTCTGTGCATAAGGAAAATGTTTTAATATAAACATTTGTCGTTCATTTCTGAAAAGTATCTAGGGCTGGGCGATATAGCTAAAAAATATATCAACGATATATGTTTCATATCGTTCAGTATCGATAATTATTGACATTTTTTATAACTTTTTTTAAAACAGAGCAATATACTTTTTTTTTTAATTTAACCACTGTATTTTTAATTTGCCCATTTTATTAAGACAAACAACAAATATATATAGGCATATATATTATTTTTTACTGCATAAACAATTATGAACAAAACAGCATCATGTGTTTATGCATTGCTTAGCCTAATACAAAGAGCCAAATCGCCCATCACACAGATTGCATTTAAAAACAAATGCAAGTGAAATGAAATAAACCTTCACAAATTTGCGTCGCATTTTCTAAACGTTAAAACTGTTTTAACTTTGCATGACTTTCTTTGCATCTCTTGCATGAGACGCGAGTGCAGCAGTCATATTTGTCCGTCTAAAAATGTGCTGAATATGCGTTCTGTGTGTATGGCTTGGTTTCGGTTTTGACCTATTCAAGATCTTCTACGCATTGACCTAATATCGATGGTGTACCGTCGATAAATATCGATACCATTTTATTGCCCAGGCCTAAAAGTATCTATGAAAAAGTTTAGGGTAAATAAATAAAAATGAACTATTTTGTCAAACTCTATTGTAATCAATTCTCAGGCCTCCCATGTGGATCTATTTTTGTGGTCTTGTCATTCGAAAGCAGGTTCAAATCTGTCACTTATAAGGTTCCATGACCATGTTGCAAGGGAGCTTGCTAGGTTTTGGAGCAGAGCTACTGTTAGCCATAAGTGTTTAAGTGGCACAATTATAATGTTATTTTATATATTGCTCAGGGTGAAGTCCCTTGAAACTGTGGTGGAGCTGCTGGAGTCAGCGGACATTCAGATTGGACTGATTTCTGATCAGATCAAACAGATCAGTCAGAAACCTCTAAATATCAGAAACGTTGCCATTGCTGATCCCAAAAATCTACATGAAGAACTAAAGGTACATTATCCTCCAAATTCATCTTCGTGCTTGTAGATCTAAAGGTTTTTCACACCTCACAATCACTAATCGGACAACTGACACCAAATATTTTTTTCTTTTAAAATGTCCAGCTTGTGCATATTTTCCAGAGTTTGTTGTGTATTTTAGAACCTTTCACATTTTATTTTTTTGACGTTTTGTAAAGCATCTGTTCACAGGTGAAAAAGGTCTAAAATGCTGGGCGTTCCTTAGGAAAATATGAAAGTTATTTGATAACTTTTGATAACTTTACCTTTAAGAAATATTTGCTTCCTCATTCAAAGCATACATTCAAATATTTGCATAATGTACCTTACATTAGTATGTTCAAACTGACCTCTTTGTTCTTTGTTCAGCGTCTAGATAAAAGTATCGAGAAAGAGCTGTTTCTGCTTAATAAGAGTGGCGGTTCAGTTAGTGATGCTGCTGATCTGAGTCACATTGAGCTCCAAGATCATCTTTCCCTTCAGCAAACTCTCCACGACCTCACAAAATGCTTGGACCAGCAAAGACAATGTCTGAGAAAGAGTGAATTGGCCCTGATGAACCTCTTATCACATCTCCAGCAGGTGAATGCCGACCTCAAAGCAGCTCACAGCACATCAAATCGCAGTTTAGTCTCCATCCGGCAAAGCCTTCAGCAGGCCAGGGAAGAATCGGTTCAGCTAGACCGAATGCTGGATGATGCTGGCATGAGAATAACTCTGGATGACAAACCAGGCAGCTGTCATGAGATGGTGTCCGCTCTGGCACTACGTGCCGAAGAGGTCGAGACCAGACTGGCTGTAGGGCTGAAGCAAACTGACAGAGGAGGGAAAGGAAGAGCAGAGGGAGAACAGAGAGACCGAGTGTTCGGTAGGAAGAGGATGGGCCTGCAGGTCGCCCTGAGGGAGGTGCTGACGGCACTCGAAAAACATGGCCTGAAGGAGCCCACAGTTCCTGCACTACAGCACAGGTCAGCAGACTTTAAAACAGGACTGCTTATGGTTTTTTTTTCTTTGTTTTGTATACAATATTTTGAATGCTAACTTAACCAAAACCAAAACTGTTAAAGTAATATTTATTAAAATAACAGTTGCAATATGCAATAAAAAAATCAACTTAATAAAACAGGATTTTTCCTCTTGTTATGCATACAATAAATGAAATGTGCTTTAGAAATCATTTAATTTTATATTGTATTTTGCAGTTTTTTAAATGAACATTATTAGTACCTTTTTGTTTAATTTAATCATAATTTAATTTAGTTTGCAAGTTATATTAATTAAAGTAACAATTGTAATATACAAAAAATTTAAATACAATAAAAAATTAGGGCTGCTTTTTCTGTTTTGCATACAATATTTCTAAAGCAAGTTTAATTTAACTCGATTTAATTTTATTTAATTTACACAAAAATTAAGTTATGTCAATTAAAAAAAGTTATGTCAAAAAAGATAGTTATGTCAATTAAAATAACTAATTAAAATAATATATATATAATAGAATAGAATAAACTTTCACCACAATATATATAGACATGTATATAAATAAGATACATTTATAAATGTTGTGATTGATGCATGAGTGCTTTCTCAAAGTAACACCTATATTTGATCCATTTCAGATAGTTTAAAAAATGTGGAATGACTTCTGAGAATGTTATACCTCTAAATTGATTACAGTAAAGGAGACGATATGCCTCTGTCTTAATCTCACCAGTGTCTCTCTCTTTCTCAGGTTACGCTTCTTGACAGACATGGAGAGCAAACTGTTTGCACTACGCTCAGAGATTCAGGATCTGAGAAATACTTGTGCACAGACAAGCACCTCAGAGACAGCCATCAGCGAGCTGCAGACGCAATGGGAAAACGCACAGAGCGCAGTCACAGAGAGGTGATGAGAAATGCACATGATTATAGTAAAGCACTTTGTGAAATGCCATTTCACATGTTTCATGCTTCTGTTTCAGTCGTGAACAGTGTGTCTCTCTGAGCGAACTACTGAAGAAGTTCCAGAGCTGCCGAAATCGCTTGGGCAGCACTTTGCAGAAAGCAGAGCAGACTATTGGTGATCAGGCCTCCTATATGGGCAAAGACAACCTGCAGCTCCTGATCAGTAAGGTACAGAAATACTGAAAAATCCTGAGTGCAGTGCTTCCATTCTTGGTGGACTGCAGATGGCAGTATTAACTGCATCATTTTAGATGATTTTTAGTATTAACTGCAGACTAATATTTTGTAAAATGTATACAGTTTATTCCTTGGATAAAACTGGGGTCAGAATGAGTATAAATAACTGCATGACTATGTGATGATTTTGTGTATGTGTGCAGGTGACCAGTATAAAGTCAGATCTCGGTGGTCTTGGGGACAGGGTGGAGGAGTTCAGAGCTGTGTGTCGACAGCTGCAGTCTCTGATGAGAAGGATCCCAGACTGTGCAGACGCTCCATTTGAGAGTGAGGCTGACACCCTCATGGACCGCTGGCTTGATGTATGTTCCCTCAGTAATGCCGTAATGTGATAGAAATACTCTCACTCTATTTTTCTAAAAATGTTCAGTGTTTGCATTAACCTGCGATTTCAGGTCACCGAGAAGGCAGACTGTCATCTGGACAACCTTCAAGCTGGCTTTTCACTTTGGGAAAAACTCCTACTGTTGGCTGGAGAGGTTGAGGGCTGGAGCGCCCAAAAGCTGATGACACTTGCTTCACACCCCTTTCAGACAGAGCAGGATGTGTCTGCCATGCAGGTGAAACCTTTGTCAGCTGACAAACCTTTTTTTGGTATAACTTTTAAATACACTTTTTTTTTTTTTTTTGAATTGGAGACCAATATTAAATATTTTGGATGTTAAATGAGAAAAATAAATCATTGTAACTTGTCATCAACTGAACATTTATGGAAAGAAACATGATATTGTTAGTGATATTTACACTACCATTCAAATGTTTGGGCTAAATAAGATTTTTCTTTTAAATAAAGGATGCGTTAAATTGATCAAAAGAAAATAAGGAGCAAAATATTTCTGTTTCCAATAAATGCTGTTCTTTTGAACTTTGTCTTAATCAAGGAATCCAGAAAAAAAATATGTATTATGGTTTCCACAAAAAACTGCTGTTTTTATCATTGATAATAAGAAATGTTTCTTGAACAAATCAGCATATTAGAACGATTGAGAATATTTCTTTCTGAAGGATCATTTGACTCTGAAGACTAGAGTAATGGCTGTATTTTTGATCAAATAAATGTCTCAACTATAATTGTTTTGCACAGGATGAGCTCAGGATTCAAGAGGAGAACATTGAACTTTTCCATCGCAGATCTTCAGAGATCCAGGAGCTGCTGCAGAGTCGCGAGTTCCCACTGGAGCTACAGGTGATTTCAGACACACCAGCAACTTTTCACAATGCAATTTTTTTTTAATTAATGCTAGACAATGTGTAATGAGATTTGTATGCAAAAATGATGTGATATACTGTGGTAAACCTATATATAGGTATAGGTAAACCTCATGTATTAGTATTAGCCAGGCTAGCACATTGACCACTCTTTAAATTTCAGCAAATTCACTGTAGTTTATTTTTAAAGGTGATTGTGAGCCAGCTGAGGAAGAAGATGGCAGAGGTGAAGGAGCTCTTTTCTGAGACCAGTGATGTTTTTAGACAGCTGGAAGCTGCCAAGGGGAAGGTGGCATCTGATATCGCAGATCACCTGTCCTCCATTCAGACTATCACAAATGCACTGACTACGTCTGAGAGCCCACTGGTCCTCAAAACAATCCAGGTGAATGTTTATGCTTTAAGACTAAGCTGAGAACACATTCAAATGCAATGCAGCAGTGTAGTGAAGTTCAGTTTTGGCCCGTTTTGATCTACATGTGCACAATGCCTCTGTCACATACTGTACTTGATTTTAAATCTATTTAAACCTTCAATCAGTTCACCTAAAATGTTTTTTGATGAGCTAATCCTTTAATGTAACCGTTTTGGCTGGCAGGGCTTATCGGCGCAGTTGCAAGCGGAGGCAGAGCAGGCAGATGCATTACTGCAGCAGATAAGTCTTCTGGCAAGCATTGCAGGTCTAGAAAACCTGCAGACGCTGGCTGAAGATGGAGCTCACCTTCGAGAAAGCATCTGCATGGCCAGAGAGCTGGCCATAGAGAAGAGAGAGCAAGCAATGAACCCCAACAGACCTGAAAATCAAATGGTCCAAGACCCTAAGCACATCAAGCCCCTGATTGAAAAAACAGAAGATACTGTGCCAGAGATACCGTCTGAATCTAATGGTAAAACAGAGGAACAGTCAAAAGGAGGCAAGACACAAGATGAGTTGAAGGACTTCAAAGAGCAGGCCTGCAGCTGGGCCGGTGAACTGCATCTGAAGGGAGATTTGCAGGTTTCTGAGGATGTGAACAGATGGGAGAAACTCACAGCAGTGCAGGTACTTTTCTTGCCATGTGTCTGTTTGTTCTCAAAGGGTGTGTGTCTTTAAAATGCTTGAACTGAAATAAGAACATTTTTAGCTTTGAGAACTAGAATCAGTTTGTTTCTTGGTAACTACTTCAGATCTAAGAGTTATGCACTGTCTATTAACAGCAATTTAAATTCTATTTCAGCTCGTCATATAGTAAAAGAGGCATCTGACGCACTAAAGGAAATTTATTTTTGAACAGATCATTTCTACTTGCACTGCCTATTATAAAATAATATAATATAATATTTTTTTTTATTACAGGAAATAATATGTGACCCTGGACCACAAAACCAGTCATAAGGGTTACAAAATATCTTCATGGAACATGATCTTTACTTAATATTCTAATGATTTTTGGTTTTGGCATAAAAGAAAAATCAATAATTTTGACCCATACAAAGTATATTTGGCTATTGCTACAAATATACCCCAGCGACTTAAGACTGGTTTTGTGGTCCAGGGTCACAATATTAGGCGTTTAATTTGCAGTAATAGCTGAACATTTTGTGGCTGTAATGTATCTCCATAAAAGGTTCTCAGACATCTTTATCTGCTGCAGTCATGTTTATATGTAATTGTGTTCATGTTTTTGTTCAGGATGTGTGTGTTGATCTTGGTGAGAGTATGACTGAGGAGCTGAAGTGTGCAATGTTAATACAACAGAGCCACGAGAGTCTGGACTCTCTACAGGGTCGGGTTGAGGGCCACTCTAATGACTCAAATGCATTAAAGGTAAAAGATGCAGCCAAAAACCATTCACTCACAATCATACACGCTCAAATGTAAAATACTGTACCATTAAACTTACACTTTTGCTTTGTTTTAGAAATGTATTCGTTACCAACTCCTCAGCAAGGTTATAGTTTCATCCTTTTCAAATTAGTAATTGTCAAAGTATTGAATATTTCTAAATTTGATTTAAATTCGGTGAAGTTTTAGTTCACTTGAGATAAGCTAAATCTTTTACATTCAAAGCCATCTTTAAACTGCAGTGGAGATGATAGCCTTGATTAGCCTTTTCCAGACGCCTAATGTAATGAGACTAACTGCCTTGGTGGATTCTCGGTAGGCTGTAGAACAAGTGGAAGGAAACCTTCTAGAGGTTGAGAAATTGTCTGAGGTCCTGCAGACAAGCTGTACTCCAGACGGTCAGACTGCTCTCTCTCAAGAAACTCAAACATTGTTTGGAAAGACGCCAGCCCTGAGGAAGATCTTGGAAGATGAGAGGACTCAGGAAGGGAACTCTGATCCAGATCAATGTTCCATTCAGTGCATCGAGCCTCAGCAGCCTGGAGTGTCCACAGAGGAGCTCCAGTCAGTTCAGGTTAGTGTGGTGTGTCTTACACAGGAAGTGTTTGAAAAAAAAAAATGTTTTGAGTGGTTTTGGTACATTTATAGAGTACAATTAAGCAATATCAGTTGGCTTATATTGTTCCAAACCTGTATGACTTTCTTTCTTCTGTAGAACACAAAAGAGGATTTTTTTTTTTGTCCATGCAATGTTTGTAAGTGGGGTCCAAAACAACACTAGACTGTTATTTTTCCCACTGACTTTTATTGAATATACCAATTTTTTTTCAAAACATCTTGTTTTCTGCAGTAAATAGTAAGTCAATACAGGTTTAGAATGAGTTGAGGGTGAGTAAACAATGACAGAATTTGTATTTGGAGAGGAATCTCTTGTCTGCAATTATTCTTTGACAGACGTACACTTTTTTTTTTTCTGGGTATGGTTTTGGTGTCGACAGGAGAAATGTCATTGAGTGTACCATGGTGGCATGCGCACAAATCACTCTATCCTAGCTAAAACCTGTTAAATGGCGTACCCACTCAGTTCTTCGTCTAGGGCCATTAATGAAGGACGCACTTCATTGCTTTTAAGTACTTGTTTTTTACCTGTTCTCTGAGAAAAATGCTGGATGTTGGATGATTTGCTTTGTGGCACATCACTTTAAGCAGGTGCATTTCTGATGTCAAAGCTTATATTTAGACTGCATTATCCGCATTATTCTGCTCTGCCTGATGGGTTCTCTTATTCTTTTATTTAGAAAGTTGGAAAGTGTGGTACAGTGGGTTGTGCACATGCTGACAGCATAAAATGTCTTTGTGAATCACTTGGGTGAAGGATTAATAATAATAATAATAATAATGCAATTTATTTATATCTTAGCTTTTTTCTGAAACTCAAAGCGCTACACAGCGTAAAATAATAACAATAAAGTACGACTAAATAACAAAGTACACTCAGACGGCTTTGAAAAACCTTTAATTTATATGAAGGCTTCTGAAGAACTAAGTTACAAATATAAGCAGGGGCTGTCCCATGAATAGCTTTAAATGTTAGAATCAAAATTTTAAATTCAATACATGCATGTATGGGAAGTTATAAGTGCAAGTTACAAAGTATCTGGGAAATTTGCTGACAAGCAGTTGTGTAAGTCAGTACCTGAGCATCTGAATTCTGAATATATTGCAATTTATCAGGGAGACCAAAATAAGGTAATAATCAAGCCTTGACATCATAAAGGCATGGATAAGCCTTTCTGCATCAGGCAATGATAGAGAAGATTGAGGTCTGGCTATTTCTTAGGTGGAAAAATGCAGTTTTTGGAACTATTGAATTTATGCAAAGCCGTTGATATACCAACAAATAAATTTCAGTTTTTGACTCTGTTTAAGCAACCTGGTCCAGTGTAGAACTCGATTTAGAACTTGATTTAGACTATTTAAGGACGGTTTCAGATAAATGTTGAGGTATGCAGTATAAACAAATCATATAACAAATTTCCAGGAGCTGAATAAACACGCATATATTGCTGAATGATGTTTATAAATTTTGTGTCATAATAGTTACGTTTTTGTTTTGCAGGTTGCCGCTGACAGCGAAGTGGATGACATGGATCGTATGAATGTGAAATTCTTGCCCACAAAGGAAGTTAGTGAAACAGAAGATCTATCACATTGCTCAGGACAACAAGCAACCGAAGATTTTGGGAACCTTCCATCAGGCCACGACTCAAATAAGCAGCTGTTCATGTCTGGATCTAAAGAGATGGATGGAACTGGATCTGTATTAAGAGAAGGTGACAGCAAATCCACTCATGGCTCATCCTGTGAATCATTAAAGCCTGTCTTTACTATAGTGCTGGACTCTGATCTTACCAAACCCGACCAGAACCCACTAACACAAGCTGTCCCAGCTTCTTCAACTAAATGGGATACTGTTTCAGTTTTTTATGATAGGACCGCAGAGACATCAGCGGATGGCTTGAAACTCTTGGAAGTCAAACCAAATGTTGATTTAGCTGTGGATGAAGAACATGTTGCAATAAGCTCTTCTGATGAACCTCTACATTTATGTGCTGATCTTTCAAAATCAGAGGTGCAGTTTAAAGAAAGCAGGCACACCGATAATATTGAACCCACTCATTCTGATCTAGACCTTGATTTCAGGCCTAAACCAGAGAAGGACTCATCTACTCAAGCATTTGACCCAATGCTTTCATACCCAGAGAAGCATCAAGGAAGCTCTGGAACTGCTAAGAAAGTATTTACCATCATCCTGGATGTTGATACTCCTGCATTATCATCAGACAGGTATCAATCACTGCAAGAGACACTGTGTACAGGTTCTGAAGACTCAACCACAGATGAATTCTCCAATTCAGATGTAAAAAATCAACATAGGATCTCCTCTGGTACTGAGAAACCTGAAGGCCAAATGGCTGAGCTAGATTTATCAGAAGAGTCCAATGTGAAATCAAGTAGCTCTGAAATGCAGCCAGGACAGAAGGCAGCTACGCTTATCCAACCCCAAACCCCTGAGGTCATGGAGATTGACGTTCAAAAAGATGAAAAAGAGAAGCAACATGAAGTCACTGATGCAGAAACATCAAGTCAAATGGATGTCCACACTGGAGAAGGCAATGAGTCAGGGTCTGTAGTTCACCAACAGGATGTCCCAGTGTTGGAGAGTCATGATGAGGATGACAAAAACACCATTGAAGAGGCTTCAAATGAAGCAAAACCCCTTCAAAAGCCTCCAAAAGTTGCTAAAAGTAGGAACAAGAACAGAAAACCAGCTGGTGTAGAAAAAGCAAACAATGTCAGTAATAAAAAGCTGAACGCATGTAAATCTCAACACAAGAACACAACTGATTCGGAAAGCCTTCAAACTTCTGAGGTCAGGTTGCCCGACACCACCGATACTTCACTGACTGTGTCTTCGGACTTTAGTCAGCCAAACACTGCAGCAACATGAAGTCACTGATGCAGAAACATCAAGTCAAATGGATGTCCACACTGGAGAAGGCAATGAGTCAGGGTCTGTAGTTCACCAACAGGATGTCCCAGTGTTGGAGAGTCATGATGAGGATGACAAAAACACCATTGAAGAGGCTTCAAATGAAGCAAAACCCCTTCAAAAGCCTCCAAAAGTTGCTAAAAGTAGGAACAAGAACAGAAAACCAGCTGGTGTAGAAAAAGCAAACAATGTCAGTAATAAAAAGCTGAACGCATGTAAATCTCAACACAAGAACACAACTGACTCGGAAAGCCTTCAAACTTCTGAGGTCAGGTTGCCCGACACCACCGATACTTCACTGACTGTGTCTTCAGACTTTAGTCAGCCAAACACTGCAAAGCCATTGAGCACACAAGACAAACTAACAGTGGACACTGTGCAGAAAGAGACCTTGAATCAAACGGAGACAGAGGATGGACATTTTGAAAATGTTAGCATCTCACTTGCCGGAGGTGCCCATATTAGTACCACAGATAGTATGGTTTTAGCAGCAGTGGAGTCTGTGCAGTCAACACTTACAGAGGACTCAGAATTAACGGCAACAGATTCTTCATCTGTTGTGACAGCTGACTGTATAACACAAATTCCTACCACAGTCCTATCAGAGTCACAACTCAGCCATGCTGAAGCTCGGAGGACAGAGGATTCAGATGGCAGTTTCCCTTTGCAGGTAAGATTAAAATGGTTGTTTTCTTATAGTAATACAAAAAGAAATACAGGCAATCTATTGCACAAGTCTCATTTGACATCACTCTCAAACACCATGGTGGTCATGTTCCATACCTGAATTAACCCTTGTGTGGTGTTCATATTTTTGTTACTCAGCCAGTGTTCGTGGGTCTGGTGGACCCGCTGCAGTTTTGGGTTTTTAATTCAACAAAATTAAAAATTATAGATAAAAATACTCAACAGATGTTTACTTCATACATGCTGTTTATATTGCTTGTAATTGGGATGGTCAAAATGTGCCCTTTACCTTTGTTAGAGCACATTTATTAATTAAAGTGCTACAACCTTGTGCCTTGTGGCTTTTGTTAAAGTATATCAATGAATGAAAATCTTTGAAATGGTCATTGAAATGGACAATTAAAGTAATTTTCTTCTTTTGGAAAAAATGATCTGAAAGAACTTTCATCATATGAATGTGTCCTAATTATTCCAAGCTGTGCGAAAGACTGGCATTGACCATTTTTATGTGCACTCAAAGCAGTTAGTTCAATAATTGTGAATGTTGTTTCCTTGCACTTTTTGCCAGTGCAGTTTAACAGTCATTTTACACCAAAATATTATTTAATGAATGCATGATTTGATTATTTTCCATAGGCATCATTGGCGCATCATTCTATGTGTTGGCATTCTAATAGATATCACCCTCTAGCATTTATCATGGTTATAGTGTGGCACTTATCCATGTGCTTTGATAACAGGTTATTCAGTATTGTTTCTGTGAGCAGCAAGTGCTTCGTTATGCCAACTACATTTTGTTAGCATTACTTCCTGCAGTACCGCCTCCTGAGTTTGTTTTAGGCCTGAAGGCACACCACGCCTTTTAGAGGGAAGACTCAATTCCCAACTGGGCAGCATTCCTTGTTCTTCCGAAACCGTGCCTTAACGAGTCAACAGCAGAGCTGTTTCTCTTTTAAAACGAGCTCTGAAAGCAGGTGCAAGCAATATTGTGGTGAAATTTTTAATTGGAATATAAACTATGACACTTTTGCTTTATTGTAGTATGAAGAAATGCACAGAGTCAATTCACATCCATCTGCCGGGAACAAAACGCCCCAAAACAGAGGATCAGTACCAGACGGTGAGGATAAAACGAGGCATGTGGAGCAGCCTACTGGGACACATGTGTGGGCCGTTTTACTGAACACCATCACTAATGTTCAGCCACTACTGATGACCAGTCACGGTTCTGAGGTATGTACCTGTATGTAAACACATTATGATTTTATTCTGAATTGTTCAAGGAACATCTAGAAGAACTCAAGCAGCTTCGGTGAACTTAACATTTGGGCTTTTGACAGAAAAAAAGGCTTCAGCTCAAACCAAAATGAACTTTTTCTCTCAAATATAACTTATCTGTTAATCAACTCATTTTTAGTTAGTTTTTGACTTGAAGACCATATATTCCCTCAAGTTTTCTAGGAGGAAATTGCACAGGAAGGAGGAATTTCCTGTGATATGTGCTGCTTTTAACTCTACAATTTTATTCCTATCTGTTTAACATTTCTTTCACTTTAGTTTTTCATTTTTTTAAACAATTATTACAAATTATTTTTATACAAATTTTAATACTTTTATTTTTTTGCAGGAATCTAGACCAAGGAAAGATTCCTTGTTTCAGAATTCATTGCTCTTAGAGTCTGAGAGCAGTCTGGCATGGACTGTCCTGTGGGTGTTCAGATGTCGGTACCGACCGGCCCAACTCAGCATTGCACATATGACTCATCAGCTGGAAGAAGCTGAGGTACAGTACATTACCTCATTGCACTTTCTCCAAAACCTCCAGCTGTGAACAGCTGCTGACAGTAAAAGATGTGAGTACTAGTCATGAAGATCTAATCTACTGTTTTCGATAAGAGCCGGAACAACCCCTCACTAGCTTCAGGAGATGTCTGATTGCAAAACATTTGACTTCAGTTCAATTCAATTCAAGTTTATTTGTATAGCGTTTTTCACGATACAAATCGTTGCAAAGCAGCTTTACAGAAAATATAAGTTTCTACATTATATTTAGTAGTAGCTTATCAGTGGAGACTATGTCAAGTTGATGTCCATATGCCAGAAATGTACAGTAAAATTCATGCAGTTAATGACATGTAATCAAACATACGGTGAACACTATTAACTGCAATGATTATATGTTGCGATTAAACTTCTAGCAAAATTTGGTCGTTTTGTATGTTGTTTGAGGGTTGGCATCATCTGAGGTCCTCTGAGGGGTTGGCATCATCTCTTCTCAGGTGTTCGTCATCTCAGATCTTCGTAAGGGTTGGATCCAGACTGAAGCTTCTGTAATTTCTAGTTACCCCAGGATGCCAACCCCGTGTCAGAAACAGAAAAGCAAATAGAGACACAATTAGCGTAGCTGCTGTTCCAACCAAGCAAAAATTACTTAAAATGAAGCAGAACTTATTCAGATTTCCAGGTCAAATGTAATCAAATTTGTAACTGATGTCAACTCCTTTGTTTAAAAGGTGAGATGTTCTTGCTTCCATTGGCGCTCAAGATGATCCTTAGATAAGTCATGCTGGTAAAACATTATTAGGTTTTACATAAATGTCTGGAGTTTATGCAGCTTGACTACTCCTTTAGCAGAAGGGACAAACCAAATACTAAAACCTTCTGAAATTTATATACAGTACATTCATGTATCATGCACCCGAGTGAAACTTTCTAACTATAACCATTTAAAATTACAGTAAATGGTATGACATGTTTATCTGTGTGTCATAGATCTGCAGGCAGTATGTCTTGGAGCAGGTGGCTAGACTGCCTCAAAGTGAATCTAGTGCAGGACGCTCTACAAAGCCTGAGCAGATCATAGAGGGCAGATGGAACACAGTACTGATGGATACCTCAACTATGGTGGAGTACAAAAAGACACAGCTCCAGCAGGTCACGCAGTACCACCAGCAAAAACGGGCTCTCGCGGATACTCTACACAACCTGGAGGCTGAGCTCAGCACACTGACACAGTGAGCATCCTTGACATTTTTTGTGTGTGTGTGTTCAGGTATACCCTACAAAGATGGCAATATCCAAAATTCTTGTCCTTGTGGGGACATTTTTTGGTCTCCATGAGGAAAACAGCTTATCAATCATACAGAATTAAGTTTTTTGAAAATCTGCTGAAAGTTTTGTGTAAGGGTAGGTTTAGGGGTAGGGTAAGGGGATAGAAAATACAGTTTGTACAGTATAAAATCATTACATATGGAATGTCCCCATTAAACACGGAAACCCTGTGTGTGTGTGTGTGTGAGTGTGTTTGTGAGTGTGTAAATTCGTCTTTAACATAGATGAGATTATCCTAAAATGTATTTACCTTTACCTTTAAATGTATTTACCTTTATCTGTGCCTTAGTGTTCAAACTGTACTTGAAAATAAATTAATTTGTAATAGAATTAATATTCTGAAACAGTAACATGGAAGAAAGCAAAGTTAAAAACTTACTTTAAAATAGACTGAGAGATAGATAGATAGACAGACAGACAAATCTTCTTTTAAATGTATTGTTCTTGTAAAATAGTTCATGAGGTAAACTGCTGGAAATAGTCCTAATAAAGAATGAGTGGGTGTGTCCATTACTTGTACTGTACCTGTATTGGTAGTGTAGATATTAGGGATGTTCATTTTAACCGGTTAACCGACTGTAAGAATTTTGACCGATTAATACAATCAGTTAAATGGTTTAAAAAGTCATTTAATTAATTATTTTTTCAGTAATTTATAAAAATATTTAAAACTGTTTGCTGCATAGTTAAAATACGCTACGCGTATAAAAAAAAATAGTTTTTTTAGGGGGGGAAAAAACCAAGTCGCGTATAAGTGACATTTTATTATTTCATTCAGAAATAGACCTAATGCAGACGCTAAATGTTTACAAACATTATAATAAACACTGTAAACATAGCTAGTGTTAGTTCCCCTCACTCCACAACAAATCCTTTCAATTAACAGTATTTAGAAAAGAATTAAAGAATTAAAAATATAAGAAGCTATAGCAATATAAATGACAAGCCAAAACGAAATCATTTAGGTTAAAACGAAACTGAAACCAACGTTGGGTCTCTCATTCCACACAAAATCAAATGTTTCCGTATTCGCGATGTATTTGAATGGCAAATTATTATTTATTATGTAGCCTACTTCACTCGCGTTCCAATATCCACATAAAACAAAATGTTTTACATCACGGCGGTACAGTGATAACACTTAACCTTAACGGCTTAACAGAGTTTACTACATTTTTTACTAGCCTACATTTTTTTTTTTACTACATAGTTTTTTCCCATATGTTTGACTGACTGTATTTTATTATGATAATCAACAGGCTGCATTGTCAAGGTTGCCATGCGGCGCCGGCGCAATCACTTGAATTTTTTCCTTCTAAAGCCCAGCTCACACTGTGCGATTTTGGCCACGATTTGGTCGTCTGAGACAAATTTTGAAAATCCTAAAAGATTCCTATAATCCTAGGCTAAAATCTGTAGTCTTTGATCGTTAGTTTGACATGTTCACCGACAGCCGATTAATGACCGTTGCGATCAAATTTTACCTCCAACGAACTTCTGGCAGTGTCAAGATTTGGCGCAGGTTGCGCTGCTGTTTTCATGTGGGTGTGTAGTGCTGCTTGCACTATTCTGCATAAATATGCCGGTATCGCCGCCATTCATATACTTTTAATGATAGCCAACATTACAGCCAAATGTTGCAATGCAGCTAGCAGTCACTGAACGTGTATGGGTTGATAAGGTAAAACTCCGGACAGGTTTTCTTGCAAAAAATCGCAAAAAAATCGCACAGTGTGAGCCCGGCTTAACAGTGAAAGAAACTACTCATTTTAGTCCTAAAGATAATCGGAATTGTAAAAGGTTTGCCTTTATTTGTGTACATTCACAATA